ATCTAGTGGCTGCAGTCCTGCTCCGCTGATGTTGTGGGTCCATGTGTCTTCTTGTTGGTAAGAGGGGGCCTGATGTTCCTTGGTATCCTCATAATTCCATTGAAGTCACATTTAAAAATGCTATCAAAATTGATTTATATCATTTCCCTACATAAAATAGCACAAAATGTGCTACACTGTAAGTGACTTGAGGATTCCAGTCTGATAGCAAATATTTTAAATAAAAAGTTTCAGACCTTCCTGGTTTCTGAGATAAGATAGGAGCGATAAGGCCATTACGAAGGTTGTGATAGAGAGGACAATGAAGCAACATGTGAGCTTCCATTTCTACTCTCCCCATAAACATAACTGCTCTTGAACAGAAGTCTTATTGTATCTGCCTTAAAATGCAGAGGGCAGAACATTTAATCTAGGCAGCATATAAACTTTAAAATGTTTGCGAATTAACCAATTTGACATGCAGTTGGACATTTAAAATATTCCTAAGTACAGTAGCTGCTACTTCCCATGTTATTTCGATGCAAAGCTGGAGTGTCCTCTCCAGAGCATGAGGCCTGGGTAAAATAATATTGGGGACAGGCTGTTACCCAAGCAGCAAATCCCCCCTCTCCACGTCACTGAAATAGTTCAATGGAAAGGCAAGGGCCAATACAACTGGTTCCAGCGACATCGTAGGAGTTGCCAGAGCGTCATGAACTGCCTCCAGGACTCCGGCTCCGGATTTTGCCTCGAGCTTAACTCCTGAAGCCTTTTCCGTCAATGGATATAGCCACAAGGCAGTGGAGGTTTGAAATTGGAGTTTTCCTTCTCCTAGATGTGCTGCTTTCCAAGGCTAATGAGCCCCATGTACCCGCATATTCCTACATAGTCTCAGTACTGTAATTAGAATAGTAGCAGACCAGCCTGACATGTTTTTAAAACTCAGTATATTTAATTTAATGTGCAATATCTGCTTTAGCATGTGCAGGTGCAGCATCAACTAAGAACCCCAAAAGGTGCAATGTTGCTACAGATGTCCTTTATCACTTCAACTGAAATTTAATGGTTGCCTTCAAAGGGGCAAAGCCCATAGGACAAAATATCAATTTTCATTCAAAATTCACTTACAGTATCATATAGTGATAAACTAATGGGGCTGCAAGTAAGTCAGGGTTTCTACAGTCAACCTTTAGGAGTCCGCAGCCCAAGAACAGCCGAGTTATGGAAATGGACAGAGTTCACAGACCTGGTAAGGTCTGACCTAAGTATAATGCACAAGTCATATTACCTCCCTCAGCCTAGACTAGTAGTTTACAACCTTGGGCAACCCAGATGTTTTTGGGCTGGAACTCCCAAAAAACTCCAGCACATCTAGTAGTGAAGGCTTCTGAGAGTTGCAAACCATGAACACCTAGGTTACCCAAGGATGGGAATCACTATTTATTAGATTTCTATCCCACCCTTTTAGACAAAGTCTACTCCGGGCAGGTTCCATCAAACATTATAAACTAAAAACAATTAAAAACAATAGTAATTAGTAGTAATCTAGACATTATACTTCTCTAGGTGCAGCCTAGAATGGCATTAGGTTTTCTTGCTGTCACATAACACTATTAAGACTCCAAGATCTTTCTCACATATACAGTAGGACTTCGGTATCCATGGGGGATCGCTTCAAATTCCCCCACAGATGCAGAAAAACCTGGAAGTATTGAACGTTATACATTGCATGCCCTCTGGCCCGCTCTAGTGGCTTGTTCTGGTAAATACATACTATGAATATGTAAAATACATACAGTACAGTATTTCAGGAGGGATTTACAGTATTTAGTATTTTCAGGCAGTGGATCGGTGACTCAGCAGATATTGGACAGGGGAGTCCTGCTGTATTCACTTATCTTGCAGTCAATTCATCTCTCAACCATTAAATATTCTAAATCCCAAATGTACTTCATGATGCAAATTATGTTGCAACTGTCAGGTGGAAAGTCATATGACAGCAGATAGCAGAAAATGAAGAAAGAATAAACAGAAGTAACACTAGGAAGAAAAGCAAGGGAAGTCGAGGCCCGTCACAAGCTGATGAACTGCTGTACTGACTGATCTCTTTGCAGTACCTTAGGCTCAGCAGTTTCAATCAGAACAATTGTCGGGAGTTGACTGACAGGCTTCCCAAATCAGAGGCACCGTACACTATCCATGAAATTGTAGGCAATAAAATAATTGACATTTCTGAAAAACAACAGTTCAAGGCTGGAAAGAAACAAGAGTGGACAAACAATGCTTTGCTTCCTTACACGAGCAGGAGTACCTGAAAAGATTTTCACTCAGGCAAGAGCAAACACAAGGCAAAAACAGAATGTCAGCAAGTTTCCTCTGGAGTAGAGAATGCCAGTTAAAACTCCTGGAAGTGGGCCTTGTTTGCTCTTTTGATCCCACTCCTTCCTTTCTCGTGCACTTCTGTCCCCAGGTCCTTTCTGGGGCAGAGGATGCTTTTATCATAACACCGGATAAACAGCACCTGAGCTTGCTGCAGGCTCTTGGGTCATCTCCACAGAGGGCCCATTTACAAAAGAGTTACAGCACAGAACGACTGCTGTAGACAAACATAGCAGAAGGGTGGGAAACCACTTCAGTCCTGGGGCTGGATTGCTTCCGCCTTCCTCCAGAAGTTATTTGGTGGGTCAGGTGACATCAGGGGATGGAGGAGGTGATACAAAAAATTAAGAGGATGAAGGAAGAAACAGAAAAGTTAAAAATGTGGTCAGATACGGCCTCTTTTCTCATCCATTTCCTTCCTTCTCCCTTAATGTTTTTGGACCATTTAGTTCCTGGGAACTTGAAAGGTTGGCAAGTTTTTGCAGCATTGCAGCTGGCCCTAATAAGATAAGGCTTAATTATGGGTCATGTTCTTGTACTGTACAGTATTATGTGGAACATCATCTATCTCCCTCTCTTTCCACCTCCCTGGATGAGTTAACACAAGTGTGATCAGCCAGCCACTGCATAAATATTTCGGAATGTGCTAGTAACAGTGAGTTAAGCACCCCTGGAATGACACAAGCAAGCTAATTCTTAACTTTCCACACTGTGCTCTTCTGCATGGTTTCTAAGGAACTCCAGGAGATCATGAGTTTTCCTTGTGACACGGCACAGACTTGTAGAACACTGCTTCCCCAACTGAAGTATGCACCAAGACATTTAGGGATATGTGGGGGGGGGGAGAACAAGGATAAAAAGAGGTACCTCCCCAGCATGCCTGGGACTGTCATCTTCTCAACAGATTGCATGAAACATCTGGGGAACAATCATGGACCTTCTCTGGGTATGTCACATTAGGGTTGAAAAATAAAGCAAGGCAGCTAGAGGGTAGGAGGGGCCAGCTGCAGTTAAGTTTCACTTTCTATGGCACTCTCCTCTGTAGCGAGGAAACAAAACTCAGCTAGGCTGCACAGCTGAACTTTTTCCTTTTCATGCATCTGGTTTCTGAGATAATGCGTCATTTCTTTTCACTTTGAGGGAAAAAATAGGTGTTTTGCTAGTTTGCAAAATTGAACATCAGGTGCGTCTGCTCCCTAAACCAAATGCTGGAATGGCTCTCGGAGGCTAGGAAAATACATTGCATAGGAAATGTTTATTTTTAAAAACATCCATGCTTCCTAAATCCCAAAGACTCCAGGGTGGCTTCTTTTCCGAGTGCGAAAAGGATTGTTGGCTTAGCTTTAAAAAACAAACAAACATGAAGTGTCTTCCTATCTAACTCACCACCTTGGGACCTCTCTAGAAAAGAGAAGGCTTTGCCCCTTTAAAAGTCTGCTTTCCCCTCCCATCTTTTTTTTCTCATGGATCTTTTGAGTTCTGAATGTAAACATGTATGTACTGTCTGTACACCTTATTATTTCATTGCTTTTTAATCCTATTACTGGACTATTTATTTACAATTACAACGTATGAATTTGAAATAACATCGACCCTATTAATTAAAAAGACATTGCTTATATGAAGAGTACAATTTATGGAAATTGGCTACCAAGGGGTATGCAACTGGAACAAGGTTGGCAACTGCTGTAGAATGGGGGAGTGAGGGGCTCTCTGTGCAAAACAGCCTGCAAGTGAGAAAATGCACATGACTTGAAATTCATGCAGGGGCTAGTTAACACAGGATACCCTACAATGAGGGCCACAAAGTCCTCTAGAAACAATTATGGCAACCATCCAGAAGTTCGTTAAGTACACCTACATGCGCACAAAGAACAAACAAGAAATAAAACAAACGTTCAGCAATAATCCTGATTCAGAGCCCCACCCCACCCCACCTTGACAGAGGAAAGAAAAAGAGAATCAGAGATATTTAGTTCCACCCTACGGAGAAAACAAAGGCGCATGGGACAGGGAGCAAAAACAATTTGCAGGACAAGGAAGTCACAGCAAGAGGGAAACAATCACTTCTTCACGACATGAGTTTTAACTCAACAAAACTATATGGCAGTCTGGGTGCGACACAGAACTCTTCAACAGCTAGGCAGGCAAGGCAAGCTGTACAGATCACAACAGCTGCAGTGTTTGTTTCTTTCAAAAAGGCACTGTACACAAAATAATGCTTTTTAGACAGAATCATAAACAGCAGAATGCAGGCTATCTCAGACGGACCACTGGTACCCGAGGCTATTATCAGAGAGAGCAAGCAAGCAGCACTCCTGGACCGATTGCGCCACATCTTTTACGGGAATTAAATGCATGTGCCCAGGCTACGTCTGGCTCAAATTCCACCCTACAAGGGCAGCTGCACGCCGATGAGGGTGGCAACACGGAGCCCTGCTGCGGGCTCAAAGAGCAATCCCCTCTTCCTCCCACGCTGCCTCCAATAGCGGACAGGCAGAAAACAAGGGGGCAGAGGCGGCCGCCGCCCTCTCAGAGCACCTTCCCCCCCAGCCCGCATCTCGCATCCCAAAGCCCAGTGCCTCTGAGCACCCGCATGCCCGTCGGGGCTCACAACGGGAGTGTCGGAGCGCAGAACTCACCCCCTGCACCCGCTTGCAGCCCAGCACAGAATCCCGCGAGCCGGTTCCTTCTTGCCCGCTCGGCCACACCCCCTCTCGGTCCTGCTGCTCTTCCTACTCAAGTGTCATTGGTGGCTTTCCCCCCACGGGGCGTGGCAGAGGAGGAGAAAAAAAAGGTATTTATTTCGTCCCGATTGGTTGGTTTGCAGAGCGAGTTCACTGCCCCCCCCACAAATTTCCTTGCTAAGTCATATGATCGAATTAGTCCATATCCCGAAGCCTCGGTTCAAGAGCCTTTACGATCACGTGACAAGGTGGGAAGCAGGGGCTTACTGGGTTGCCGGTTCAGGCCCGGAACTTCTTGTTCTTTTGCCAAGGCTCAGCCCCGGAAGTGGTAACAAAGAAGTGTGCCTTTGAAGTTATCTTCTCTCTCCGCCTGTTTTTAATGGCGGGCTTTTCCTTGGGGAATGGAGAACCATTAAAAAAAGAAGAGCAATACAGTATTTCTGTTCGGATCAGTTGCAAACTCACAAAGCTCACAATATGCAGTATAATTCTTCGTGACAAAGATATTGTCCACCTGTGAATTTTATTTTATTCTATGAATCAAAATCTGGGTTTTAATTGTTTCTATAAAGGGAGGTGTCTTTGACCACGTAAATGGGTAAACGAAGATTTACATGTGTAAGTGGGAGAGATTGAAGTCTGCATCAGACCTTATGGCTACAGTTCTCAGATTGTGAACTACAGTATTTGCCTTTCCCCCCACTTCCCCAACTTTTGAGCAGGTGAAGAAAAGCCTTGCCTTTACCATTGACATTCTAAGTCCACGCCACCTCTCAAATGCCTAAGATTAAGTTCGTTACCAAAGGCATAGTGCATATTTGCATTATATACCTGTCCTTTCTCCTTTCCCCCCTGTTGAAGACAACAGTGGGCACCGAGGTCTCGCCGGGGAAAAGTAGGAGAGAGCAACAACGAGCAAAGTATGCTTAATGAAGAGTTTATTTACCAGTACTGTAAAATGAACAAACCAAGAAAGTGCACTTGCAGAGCAAAAGTTCCCATCAGTTTGAGAACAAGCCCTTTTTATATATTTTCATAATAGTATAACATTTACCCAATAGCAAAGAGACACCTATAATTCAAAATGCACCTGTCAGAAAGCAGTACTGTATTCAGATAACAGTTGTATAGCTCAGTGGTTCTTAACGTGGGCAATAATGCCCCCCAGGGGGCGATTTCATTTTTCAGAGGGGTGGTAGAATGAAAAAGGAAATCAAGCCCAAGTGCTCACTGGAAGGACAGATCCTGAAGCTGAGGCTCCAGTACTTTGGCCATCTAATGAGAAGAAAAGACTCCCTGGAAAAGACCCTGATGTTGGGAAAGTGTGATGGCAAGAGGAGAAGGGGACGACCGAGGATGAGATGGCTGGACAGTGTCTGCGAAGCAACCAACATGAATTTGACACAGCTCCGGGAGGCAGTGGAAGATAGGAGGGCCTGGCGTGCTCTGGTCCATGGGGTCACGAAGAGTCGGACACGACTAAACGACGGTAGAATGAAAAGGGGCGGTGGAACAGAAGGAGGGGCGGTAGGGGGTCGCTGGAGTGAGCCAAGCCTGTGAAGGCGGCTGCAACCATGGTGCTGGCAGTGAATCCAATGCCACCGCTGCCACCAGACAATCCAGCTCTTTCTGCCTGTCACGTCTCACCTCTCTCCCTTAGGGGAGCACTGAGTGTGGATCAGGTGGAAGGAAAAGGTCTCTCAGGTCCCCATCCTCGTCCGGTGAAGCATTGCCTTGCACCCGGGTGGAGAGGGAGAGACGAATCCAATGCCACCGCTGCCACCAGACAATCCAGCTCTTTCTGCCTGTCACGTCTCCCCTCTCTCCCTTAGGGGAGCACTGAGTGTGGATCAGGTGGAAGGAAAAGGTCTCTCAGGTCCCCATCCTCGTCCGGTGAAGCATTGCCTTGCACCCGGGTGGAGAGGGAGAGACGAGCCCCGTTTGTCTATCCTACCTTCCTGCCCGTTGCAAGTGAAGTGCAGAGAGAAACGGGTTGGATTGGGGTGGCGCATCAGGATTTCTAGGGACAGGGCTGCCTCGGGTCATCCTGGGTGGGTGGGAATTCAGCAGCTTTTCCACCTATTCTTGTCCTGTTGTGGCTGGCTGGCTGTCAAAGGGGAAGAAAGTTGACCTGGCTGACTTTAAATGGCTTTGAGGGACGTCGGACTTAAGATCTTCCCGTCTTCCATGTACACGGGTGTGATGTGCGTCTATGTGTAAATCCTCTGGGAGAGAAAGCTCTCAAATTGAACTGAGAGCGCTGACAGCAAAACCCATGGGACTGTCATAGAGAGACTTAAGCAAATGCACCGTGGAAAGTAAGCCGCTCCTCTTTCTCCCTGAACCCTGAGGATCCATTCAGTGAAGGCAAAAAGGGCAGCGTGTCAGTGGCTTGAGTATAACAGTTTGCTTCAAGGAGGAGGTGGTAGGGGTGCTCCACAAGGTTTAGACTACAACTCCCACAATCCCCTGCCCTTGGCCCACCTTCCTGCCCATTGCAACGGAAGCACCGAAAGAAACTGGTCCGTTTGGGGTGGCGCACCATCTCTCATTGAGCTATCCAGCAGTTCCGTTGTTTATTGTTCTGTTGGGTACTTGGAAAGTTGTTTTTAAGGTAATT